AGGGGACGGCCAGTTTAGCCGATATAATGTTTTATTGCAGTTCACACAATTTATTTTGTAAATGGTATTAATTTTATCTCCTTTTTCTGTTTTTCTGTTGGATCTTTCGGTTTGCATAATATCGAATTAACCGATTTGACTTGCTCGTGTGCTATATCTATATCAAACGGTTTCAGTATTCTAACTGTTATTTCAGAGATATTTCTCATGTATGGTAGGATGAATTTTCTTGTGGTCTTTGATGATGGTTCCTTGTTGGTGTTTTGATTCGACTTTAAACACTTTTTGATGAAATTTTAGGGATAACCATTCTTTTTGAAGACCATTTGTAGGTATTTTTCTTCCATTCTTTTCAACTTTGGAGTGCTACAGTGTGTTTGAAATCCTTTAAACAATGTTTGCACATAGTCTCGTTTGTGAGTAATTGGATTATTGCTAGTGTAGTTGAGTATTTGATCTGTGTGCGTTGATTTTCTATATACTTGTGTTTCTCAATCTCCTGTGTTGGTTCTGTTGATTAAGACATCTAAAAATGGGATTTTGTTATCTAATTCTTCTTCTATTGTGAATTTGATATCTTCAAATATGTTGTTTATTAATTTACGGGTATATTCTAATTCATTTCTCTTAATTATTACAAATGAATCATCAACTTAACGTACCCAGATTTTCGGTTTAATTATAGGTAGAGTTATTAATTCTAATCTTTGCACAACGGCTTCAGCTATTAATCCTGATATGGGCGATCCCATTGGTGTTCCTTTTATTTGTTCATATTTTTGAGTATTGAATTGGAAGTATGTTGTAAGGCATAATTTTATGAGTTATATCCAAGTTGATAATTGCGTTTTTATATTTTCATCACTATAGAGTAATTCTTGCATAGTTTCTGTTGCTAGTTTTGCACTAATTGAAGTATTTAATGCTGTGACATCAAAGGACACCATTATTTCATTGTCTTCTGCTTGGATGTTTTTGATTTTCTCTAAAAATTGGATTGACGAATTGATAGAATGGTCGCATGATTCTGTTAGGTAATTTAATTTCCTGAAAAGTTCTGTAGATAGATTATATGTTGGTGTTCCTGGAAACGAAACGATCGGTCGTAAGGGAATGTTTGGTTTGTGTAGTTTTTGGTCTACCATAGAATCGAGTTAAAATAGGTCCGTTACATTTCATTCGCCATTGATCTTCTTCTGTAATTTGTCCTGATTTCGTTAGTTTATTTAACGTTGTTCTGATTTTGTTATCTAATGTTTGTATAGGGTTTTTTGTCAACTGTTGATATACATTATTATCTTTGAGTAAATCCTCTGCTTTCTTTATGTAGTCTTTTGTGTCCAGGATTACTGTTGTTCTTCCTTTATCAGCCGGTAGGATAACTATATCTTTTCTATTCTTCAGTTTCTTCAATGCATTTTGCTCTTTAATGCTAAGTTGGGAATTATGTCTTTTCTGTTCGAATATAGGTATGATACATTGACGTATTTCTTGTTGTACTTCCTCATTTAATTTTGATAATTTGAGTGATGATTCTAAGGAAGCACAGAAATCTGTTACTGAAGCGTTACCAGTATTGTAGTTGAGTCCTTTCTGAACAAGTTTTTCTTCTGCTATTGGTAATGGTTGTTTCGATAGATTTACTACACAATCATTTAGAGTTTCTTCAGATGGTTGTTTGGATATGTTGGCTAGAATCAACTAAATCAACCAGCTCAGAGAACACTATTAATTGCAGATCATCCACCTGAGCTCTCTATTATTTCAAAACTGAAGTTAAACAGGACTTGATGCTATCTACGCGCACACACCCCATCATTCTTCACACTGCTGGCTCATGATAATTCAACATCCTTAAAAGATCCCCGGAGACTGAAAAACCTTCTGCACACGAGCAGTATTCATGAACTAAAATGAAGATACGACTAGCTTTCAAATAGTTTTCTACATCTCAGCCAACTTACGTGTACAGACTACGATACAGCCACAAATGGCTGTAATGACTGACTATCATCCATATGGCTAGGCGCGATATTCATCTACATGACGTACAATTCATTTCTGATGATACCCTACGATGACACTACTGAGAAAATGATACCAACTCACTACTCACTTAAACTTAACACACCATCTGATCATAAATCAAGAATATGATCCGATTCTGTACACAAAAATGTTATACAGAAGAAGTGACTTCAAGCTTTAATCTCTTTTCTCAGGTATTTGTAATCCATCCAACACAGACCTGGATTGTTTTTTATTAATGCGAAGACTATATTTCCGCATATGCTACATTCACTGACTGGTCAGCAGATTGGTCCCCCACTGACTCGAGTCAAAAAGGACACCAATCATGTGAATTCACCATAAACCCAATTAATGTAATTTAAATAACAACTTATTCATGCTTGTACAATTGCTGTGCTCCTGCACAGACAGAAGTAAATATTTTTTTCTGATTACAGCCTGATTCCACACCGTATTTTCGGTACAAGTATGGAATATTCAGTATGCGATATCGGTAGCTCAAATTTTGCAGGCCAACCATTGATATCAGGTGTTCGTTGGCAAGGGATCGAACCCCGGACCATGTGCATGGTCGGCGAGAGTCCTAACCATTGTGCCACCGACGCAGTGAGCAGAATTCAACAAGTTAAAAATTAAATCTAATATGGAAGTCAAGTAAAAAATCTTGGGGGTGAGCAGATAAACTCATTAAATTTGTAAACAAGGTCTTACTAAGGTAACAGTCACTGGGTTTGAGCCTTGGTGGGAACATCATGACTCACTGGAGAATGCAGGTACATCCAGTTAGCTGACGAGCCCCAAATAGGATGAAATGCGCATCCTGGATTCCATTGCTAGTCACTATCCACCAATTAAATTCTAATTACATGCCCAGATGTCGTCGATGCATCTACACAAGAAGCCAGCATGTCAACCTGAGAATGAGCACTTCGGTCCAATCAATCGACGGGAAAATCTAAAATTCAATTAAAATTAATATGACCCGTTGCACAAGATGTGGCTCTCGTGGCCCAAGTGGTCAAGTGGATAACGCTCTGGTGTTTGAAACTATGGTCACTGGGTTTGAGCCTTGGTGGGAACATCATCACTCACTGGAGAATGCAGGTACATCCAGTTAGCTGACGAGCCCCAAATAGGACAAAATGCGCATCCACCAATTAAAGTCACCAGAATAGATGAAATCCCATGACAGATTCCTGTAGAACATATAGGTCAGATTTCAGTTAGCCTCAGTAAAATCGAAGAAGACTTGGTATTTTTTTGTCTATTAATTATTTCGAATGCTCCTGTGGTGATTGACAATTTCTATCACTGTATTGTTTAAATACTTACTGCTGTTCGGTTAATATATTTAATATATGAATTGCAAATAATTCCGCCAAATACAAATTCCTAAATTCATCCCTCTCCGTGTTGTTGGTTGGTTGGTTTCCTGTAATTAGGTGATTGCGAAATACCCGTAGATTTGTAAGGAGACACATGAACACCAAGTACAATAAAGAGAAACTGATAACAGTTGAAAAGAAACAACTGTTCATGAAATTGTAATTTAATGGGGACGTGGCTAGCGAAGTCTTATATCTGAAATTATCGAGAGCGATAAAACGGACTTATACTACCTCCAACATTTGTTTTTCATTTTCCAGCTACCGACCAATTATGACTGCTCAAACGAAAAACAAGCTACCTAGCTAGGCCCATTCTATGTATATCTACAAATTTAGTTCCTCCTGTGGAGAAAGTTGGCTATATAGGGCGAACAACTAGACACCTGAACAAACGCACCATTAATGAGCATCTTCTTCCCTTCATGGGTCGGAAAAGGCCAAATAAAATCTATACGAAGTTCTATTTTGACTCATTTGATTGATGATAGCGGTCAACAAGTGACCAGAAAGAGAAGCACCTTCAAAGTTATCTATCGCATTCCATCGAACCTTTCGAACGGAATTCAAACCCGCCGTTTACACACATAGCCGAAGCTATGTGAATTAATTCGAGAGAACAATCCTAGTTTGTGCATACAACAAAAGAAGTTTGTTCTACCTTTGTATCTCCCTTGTCTGGCCTAGGTAAATTCTAATAGAAAAAGACCTCCTACCCTTTCTTATTTTCCATTTCCTTCTTACTTTTATGATATTTATCTGTTTGAACTCTGATTATCTGTCCACTTCAACTTTAATATTACGTAACTTTGATGATTTGACCTAATTTATTTATTAAATTCTCTACATACACACATATATTACTGTGGTGAGAGACGGTTGCTAACCAAATTGGTTGACAGAAATTGAGGTCAATGTTAGTCATGTGAAAACAAGGTCAAGATGGACAGGTGGACACAGTTAACATATAGATGAACTGACACAGCCACAAGAGATGCAAGGTTAACTTTGTGTGAGAAACAACCAATCAACAGACTGTATTTTCTACTAATATTAACCTACAATAATGTACATCAAAATCTATAAATATGTGTTGATTTTCCATAATAAACGTTCTGCTGCCTGGCCCTTGTCTTCTGTTGTTACATTACTACCTTCGTTATTCTTATCGCCAACCGTATAAACCTTATTTTGTTATCATTATGATCATCGTTATTAATGACGTTCAAAACATTTACCACATTATTATGATTGTTATTTGACCCGCAAAATCACCGTTAATGGTTTAAAATTTTTATATATAAATCTATGTAAATTAGAGTAAAGCCTGAAGAAGATGTAATTGAAAACAACAATATTGTTCGCTGATATGTCTTGTTCAAATACTACTATTACAAATAATCATGACATTTTGGCGTCGCGATCAGGATATTTCATGAATTAGTAGAAGACATATTAGATAGTTTTGTTAACTGCTGCCTAACTTCAACAAGTTACTGCATTTCTGTAGGAGCAGGTAAATGCTGTAATGCAGTGATTTGATCATCTAAACGACGTAGATCATCTGTATCGGCGATTGAAGCGCTATTCTGTTTTCTGTTTTGAACGAGATGTAGGAGTATTACGCCGGGGAATATTTGATGTATCGACAGGATTTGCTAAGGTAGACGGAATAGGAGTATTGTTTACAAAAATTGGTGTTGAACCTGACATTCCAGTAGAACTAAGCGATACTGTAGCATAAGTTCTATTTGGTAAGCGAGCAACAGCTATTCCACCGGGGCAAAGCTTGGAGACTTGTAAATTGTGATGGATTTGTGCGGACAGAGAGTTTCTGTTGATGTTGTACAGCATCTGCATCCATTACTGGTGTGGTAGGACTACAGCCGGTGGGGAAAAAAATGCAATCCAGGTCTATTCATTAAACCAGAGGCAATAGTATTCATGTTAGTATCAAGTGACCTGGTGCCCAGATGAAGTTGAGTTGATCCGAGAACAGTTGTCAGCAAGGTGCTGGATTGACCGCATAAGGTATTCACATGTGAGTTAGGTAAAGGAACTTGATACTCTGGTTTGATTGTTGAAATTGGTTGAGTTTGAAAATTAGCACCACAATTCGGTAGGGGAGTAGTGAAGACTGTATTACGAACAGCTCCTAACGCATCTACTCAATGTTCTGCGTCTATCAGCTGCTTGGTAACTGATAGGTTCAAACTTTTCGGTCCCTTTAATCGATGGCTGTTTGTTTTCCTGTTTTTCTACAAAAGATTTTACTCTTATAACGATTCATTCACGATGATAAACATGAATTTATATTAAAATTGTATTATAACTGATTTTACTAAATAGCATAAGTTGTACACAGCTGACGAGAACCGACGAAATAAAATGGATCCGTATTATTAGGCTACCGATGACTTTCGTTGGCAACTGCCATTAGCCGACAGTGACCCTCAGATGGCCACCTAAAAGAGATAAAAGCAACAAGGAACTATGACTGGCAGCAAATCGGTTAACAACCCATTCATAAATGAATATGCAGAAGAAAATGGAGATAGATTAGACATATGCTGAGGAGACCACTGAGTGACAGTACACTTGAGTAGAACCCCGAATAACAAGCGACAAGTTGAGCGTCCGAGACCAAGAAAACGATAGCTTGTTAGCAGACGTGGAGCTGGTTAAAAGGAATTACAGAGAACCGAGTGGAATAGATATGTGCCAGTGAGGCTGAATGTTCCACTCAGAACTCAGTCAGTAATAACAATGTAGTTACAATCTGAAATTGAAACGAAAGCCTCAGTATCATTGGACAGCACGGATCCAAAAAGTTCGAGCTGCTTTCGCTAACTTACACCATCTCTGGTGTGGGCATGACATCCGGCTATCGACCAAGGGACGTGTGTACTGCTCAGCAGTTCGCTCCGTCCTTCTCTATGGCTCTGAAACATGGCCAATACAAGTTGAAGACATGAAAACGTTGACTGTTTTTGATCATAGATGTCTACGATCTCCTTCTCACGTTAGGTGGTATAATAAGGTAAGTAATGTTGACGTTAGGCGTAGAGTGTTGGGCAAAGAGGGAAAATCAATCGACGAGGCTGCGCATGCCTAACCATCGCCTCCCCCTCCCGACGGGCATTACTAGCTGATATAGGTAGGTGCAGGTTGGAAAAGAGTAAGTGGTGGCCAAACAAAACATGGCCTCATCAATCCATGAAATCCCTGACAGTTAAACTGAGTCTGTCAGGTAGGGAGGGAGATGCAGACTTCCGGGTTGGGGTCCTCGGGACTCTAAGAATCAATGGCTGGAGACAATAGTTAGCATGGCTCAAAATCGTTGTCAATGGCTTACGCAGATGTATTCAGTCTCTGTAATCTTTCATATTCCTTTGTACAGTTACTCATTCTGTTCCACTCTTATACTTGTCAAAACTCTATTGATTCTCTTCACTCATTTTCTTGTCTACCTTTGTGTGCTATTTGGAACGTGGTAACTCGAACTGGTGCACTTCGGTGCCAAGTTCTATGTTGAATCCAGACAGACTGACAGCATCATTGGTGTTATTGTGTTCTCTGAGCAAACTAAATCACAAGTAAAACAGCTTCTTAAAACAGATAAACTCGAAATCATTATCGGTAGGACAGAAAGGAAAACTTTGATAATCATGAATGACGCTGGTTTTTATACGAAGACAGACTTCGAAATAGCACAGAAGGTTTACACCTTAGGTGGATGTTTTTGATATTGTTAGGATATTCTCTAAGCTAGATGGTTTAATTAAGAAAGTTTCATTATCCTTCCTAGACAACATCTTCAGTGCTAGCTTCACAATACAACATTAGAATCCTTCAAGTGGACTAAACATCTTCTCCATTATTTTTGTCTCGGTTTCAATCAATAGTCATGTGATGTGTAATTAAGTTTATATATATTAAGTTTATAATCAAATGCGAAAATATTCATTCAGACATCTATGAAAAACAAAATAATTGAGCAAAGAATATTCTTTTCGATAATTTCCTCTTCTGGCTCTACAATTATACATACATGTTTATATACATAGAATATTCTAGAGTAGTAGTCAATAACAATATTAGTGTGCTTTATAAATAATATCGATTTGTAAAGTAAGATCACAATGGAATTACCACAGTTCATTAAAGATGCTTAAATTACAATAATAATAATAATAAAGATATAGTAGCAAATAGAATGTCAAATAAAACCAAGGAAATTTCCACAACAAATTAAGGATCATTAGAACCTTGATGGCCAAAGTAAGGGCAATGTCTGAACTAGTTTATTTCGGACGCATAAATAAGGCTTCTTAATATGGATCCGAACAACCTCATCAATATTTAGTAATCAAACTCTTAAGGCGAAGTTAAGATTTGTCAGTATACGGTAAATGAATCTGAAAGCTGCCTCGTTTATATCAGTCTTGTGTTCTGTATCCACAAGATGAGATGGAATAGCGCTACGAATAGATTTTGTTTGTCCTTTACTTAACCACGCAAGGTGATGTTCAGAAATCCGACAAGAAACACGCCTAATTGTACGGCCTACATAACTGGTTCCACAGGAGCAGTTAAATTAGTAGATACACATGGAAGAGGCGAAATTAGGCAGTTTATCATTCACTCTCGAACTCAAAATATGGGTGATTTTGAAGACATAGCGTTATTCAGAAGCAGTGAATGCTCTCTTTACCAATATATTCCTAAAGTGTTGTGTTAGTATCTCGCTGATGTTGTCCCCGAGGAAGTGAAATTGTAAGAATAAGGCCTTTTTAGGCACTGTTGGTACCTTGGGTTGCCTTGATTTTAGATTCATATTCTTATCAATAAACTTTTCTGGATAACTATTTTCACTAAGCAACCGTTTAATATTATTAAGTTCCTCTTTGCTCAATTATTTTGTTTTTTTAGATTGATTTCTAATTAAATATTGTAATGACCGAGTCTCATTCAAAATGTGACTCATTGCACCGTTCACTGTGCAATAAAACTAGACGATTTGCTGGTAATATTCGGCTGAATTTCCTTTTTTTCCCTAGGAGTGAATTCCACGACGAAGAAGTAGAAGGAGAATCTAATCTGTAGCAGTGACTCTGCTGAAAATCTTAATTATTACATTAGAGAACGTGCGTCGGTGGCACAGTGGTTAGGACGCTCGCCGACCATGCACGTGGTCCGGAGTTCGATCCCCGGCCGACGCACTCCTTTACCTTTCCAAACCAGCAATAAGACTGGTAAAGAGGAAAGGTTGGGCATGGGGCTAGCAACCCCATCCTGTAAAAATAAACACTGCTACAGAAACTTCAAGCCTTTAGCTCGAAGCCCTATGTTCCACTGGGAACGTGAAGGAAAAAAAGCATTAGAGAACAGAAAAAACGTCCATTTGAACTTGTTTTTTTATTGAACGAAATCTTCAATGTGTGCTGATGTGTTAACTCCTAATACTTTTTATGTGAATTTAAATAAACCATTTTCGCGCCTTTTTTATGTTACTTCTCGCCATTTGTATTTTCCTCTATTTCTGAAGGTCAACTGGACTTCTATTGGTTATTTACCTTTTTTAAACTTATCAGTGAATGAATGGAGAAGATATGTAGCTCAGGTAGATGATTTTAATTTAGTTTTGTTTTCTGAGCTTGTTGATTTAATTGAGCAGCTCCCATTGTACCCCCCCCCCACCTCCTATCTGGACAATATCTTCAGAGCAGATTTTACTACGAAGTGAACTGACTGGAATTCTCCATGAATGATATTCATTTGTATATCCTGACAACCGTTGTTGTGACTGGTTGTTAACTTTCGTCTCTACTGTTCGTTTTTATTGAATGACTTGGAATTCGAATTTTCTTGTCATTTGATTTAGTTTTCATTAGTTGCTAAATTTGGTCTGTAGTAACATGTTTGTTCATTACTGATTCATTTTTGTGCCGATCAGGCTTCTAGAAACACAAGTATATAGAAAATCAACGTACACATATCAAATAATCAACTATAATAGCAATAACCCAATGGCTCACAAAAGAAACTATGTGCAAACATCGTTTAAGGGAGTCCAAAAACACTGTAACACTACTCCGGTGTTGAAGAGAATGGAAGAGAAATACCTACTAACCATCTTCCAGAAGAATAAAATACTCACATAATTTTATCGAAAAGTGTTTAAACTCAAGTCATAACACCAACAAGGAACCATCATCAAAGACCACAAGAAAATTCACTGTACAATATATAAAGAATACCTCTGAAATAACAGCTAGAATATTAAGACCGTTTGGAGTAGATATAGCCCACAAGCCAGCCAGCCAGTCAGTTCAATCACTTTATTCGATATTGTGCAAGCCGAAAGACCAATCCAACAGAAAAAGAAGATAAAATTAATACCATTTACAAAATAAATTGCATGTATGATCTGCAATAAACATTACATCGGTCAAAGTGGGCGTCCCATTTGAATCAGAATCCAAGAACACAAATTAGCCGGAAAAAGACATAATATATATTCTTTCGTATCAATGCATGTGGATAATTATGGACACCAATTTAATGATTGGGATAATGTCGAAATTTTAAATAGAGGAAACACCAAAAATACTGCCAGGGAATTCATAGAAGCCGCGTTAGTACTCAAATGAATCAGCAAGCGATTAGCAAACACACATTACTAGTATAGACCAAATTTACCAGCTAATAAAAAGTAAGTCATCACATGACAAGAAAATTCGAATTCCAAGTCAATAAGATGATCAATAGAGACGTAAATTAACAACCAGTCACGACAGTGGTTGCCAGGAGAAACAATTACATCCTTCATGGGGCATTTAAATCAGTTCATTTTATACCGAATCGTGGGCTGAAGATGTTGTCTAGATGGGGGGCAACGGGAGCTCCTCAGTTAAATCAACCAGCTCAGAGAACACAATTAAATCATTATCAGTGAATTAATTATTCAGCAAGGTATTGATAAAATGTGTATATTTATTCATAAATGTTCTTGACTGTTCTGACTGTTTTCTTTGAGACAGTAACACGTCTCCCTTTCTGATAATCACAATTCTTCACTTCTTTATTTCCGCACTCATTGTTTTGTTTTTTTATGGTTGTCGACCATGTAAGTTATTATATTATTATTATACTATTATTTCTTTTAATTCCTAGAGGAACATAGGGTTTCAGCCGAGCGTCTCCATTGCGTTCGATTCTCTGCCAGTGTTCCTGTAGGAACTAAAGGAAACAATAATAATAATAATAAAATTCAGCATAGTTCTTCCAGTGCCTATAGACTGTCTCTAACAGGATTGAATTTTCGAAATGCGGAGTATTAATAACAAAAGCCTTCATTGAAGAAACATAATGAACTAAAGTCAAGTTAATTATGCTATATAACAGAACACGTCGATCTTGTAGTAGTAGTAGTAGTAGTAGTAGTAGTAGTAGTAGTAGTAGTAGTAGTAGTAGTAGTAGTAGTAGTAGTAGTAGTAGTAGTAGTAGTAGTAGTAGTAGTAGTAGTAGTAGTAGTAGTAGTAGTAGTAGTAGTAGTAGTAGTAGTAGTAGTAGTAGTAGTAGTAGTAGTAGTAGTAGTAGTAGTAGTAGTAGTAGTAGTAGTAGTAGTAGTAGTAGTAGTAGTAGTAGTAGTAGTAGTAGTAGTAGTAGTAGTAGTAGTAGTAGTAGTAGTAGTAGTAGTAGTAGTAGTAGTAGTAGTAGTAGTAGTAGTAGTAGTAGTAGTAGTAGTAGTAGTAGTAGTAGTAGTAGTAGTAGTAGTAGTAGTAGTAGTAGTAGTAGTAGTAGTAGTAGTAGTAGTAGTAGTAGTAGTAGTAGTAGTAGTAGTAGTAGTAGTAGTAGTAGTAGTAGTAGTAGTAGTAGTAGTAGTAGTAGTAGTAGTAGTAGTAGTAGTAGTAGTAGTAGTAGTAGTAGTAGTAGTAGTAGTAGTAGTAGTAGTAGTAGTAGTAGTAGTAGTAGTAGTAGTAGTAGTAGTAGTAGTAGTAGTAGTAGTAGTAGTAGTAGTAGTAGTAGTAGTAGTAGTAGTAGTAGTAGTAGTAGTAGTAGTAGTAGTAGTAGTAGTAGTAGTAGTAGTAGTAGTAGTAGTAGTAGTAGTAGTAGTAGTAGTAGTAGTAGTAGTAGTAGTAGTAGTAGTAGTAGTAGTAGTAGTAGTAAGAGGATACTGATTGGATTTGAGAGGAATTCCTTGGGTTATCATTCAATTCCAGTTCATAATAACTTTCAGAGAAGTTCTGTGTCCAAACTACGGAATAAAAGAGACAGCAAAGGTCAGAATTCAATGCAATATTTCGATTTCGGGTTATGTCGGGGATTTCGAATAATTTCAACCGCAGATTTCTTCACGAATCGAGATCAACAACAGAATCCTTGAAAACTGGATAACGCTAGACAACTATTTAACTTCAGTTTAACACTCTTTAGCAGAAATTATCCACGACTTCAATCAGACATCTGTCGTAGTCTCTTCTCGTTACCACCTGAACCCACTTGGCCTAATAGTTCGTTACTTACTGAGTGAGCATTTTTAAAGAGTCCCAAAATGTGCCAACCAAATCAGATATCCTGCACTTCTTGGCCTTCTGTGATTCTTTCACTGATGTCAGTTCAAGACAATGAAATACACACTCATTACCACAAAACAATCAAAAGTAGACAGTGTTATGAGAAATAATATTAATAAAACAGTTGAGAAAGTCAATTTCTCGGTACCGAAGAGGCAAAATCTTGAAAACAACCATTGCTCTGAAAGATAAATTTAGTCTTCTAATCCTAACCCTAATCTAACCTTAATCCAACTTGGACTAACCCTAACGTCTTCCTAATTAGGTTTACGTAATCCTAACGTGTCGTCTGCCTAAATCTAACCTTAATATCATTACCCAAATATTCATCAACCTTATTCAACAGCTGTACGACAACGGCACATGTCAAGTGATCCACAACGGAAAACTCAGCGAAGCGTTTGGAGTAAACACAGGAGTCAGAAAAGGGTGCTTATTATCACCAATGATATTGCTGATTGTGGTGAACTGGATTATGCGTCAGACAGTGGGAAACGAGAAGACAGGGATATCCCGGACTGACATGAAGAACCTAGAAGACCTGGATTTCGCGCGTGGATGATTTATGTTTGATGTCACACAAGATCGAAGACTTACAAGCGAAAACCGACAAACTGGTCGAAGAGGCTGGCAGCAAAGACAGGACTCCAGGTGAACATAGACAAGACGGAGGTTATGAAAATAACCAATCAACAACAACAACAGCAGCAGCAACATCCAGCGCCAATCACCATCAACGGGAGGGATTTGAAAGAGGTTACTTCATTCACTTATCTAGGGTAGGAGCATTGTCTCAACTACAGGAGAAACGGATGAGGATGTCAAATCGAGAATCGGGAAGGCGAGAAACACATTCATCAACCTGAAACCAATCTGGAAATCTTCGTCACTCAGCATCAACAACACAATTCGGATTTTCAATACAAACGTCAAGTGAGTCAGTTCTTCTATACGGATCAGAAGCTTGGCGGGTCACAAAGAATATTTCCAACAGCCTGTTGCAGACCTTTATCAACAACTGTCTTCGCTGTATACTGAAGATCAGATGGCCGACAAGAAAGAATCACAAACAAGAAACTATGGGAACAAACAAAACAAGAACCAATCGCCCAGCAAATATGCAGGAGAAAGTGGAGATGGATTGGACACTCGCTGAGGAGGCCTCTGGGTGACATCGCGCGTCAGGCCATTGCTCGAGTGGAACCCGAAAGGGAAGCGGCGAGTGGTTCGTCGGTGCAAGGGTGACATGGAGGAGATCGTGTGAAGAAGAGTTGAAACAGTATGGACTAACATGGATGCAGGTGAAAAGTATAGCAGAAGACAGAAACAAGTGGAGACGTGCAGTTGAAGCCCTATGTTCCACTAGGAACCCGAGGGAACAATAATAATAGTAATCTAACCTACAACTAACCAGATATCTTATTTAATAGCATTACAATTCATTCAACAATTTATATTTAATGAGCGTAGTGTCCTTTACCTAGTTTCACTGTCTTTCTCTGACCGAACGTTCCAAGGTCATTCGTGACTTTTCGATGCCTTGAGTTTAACTTCGTCGTGTTTTTTTAACTGATGTCACCGTTTGCATAAACGATTAGTGAAAAATTGAAAAGGTTAGAAACAGTAGCAAAATGTTGTAAGATGGAAATACCAGACTACTTAATCAATATATGCATATATATATATTTATATATTGATGTGCCGATGAATTAAATACGTGAAGTCTGTTACAGTAAACTCACTTTGTGAGCAATTAAAGTTTATGCGTAAACAAACATGAAACATTAGCAAGCGATGATGTAACTGGTTACACATGGAAACCATCGTCTGTATTTAGTAAAAACAAACGACCATATGATCGACTGAAAGCAATTACTTAATAAAACAAAATAAAACAACTTTACACGGCACTAATAAGAAATCGATAACAGCCTACCTACCTACGTACCTACCTTTGAATAAAGAAATAGCATTTTTAAGCGCTTGTTAGTTATAATTGCGGTATTAATTTGGTGGATGGTGACTAGCGGTGGAATCCAGGATTCGCATTTCATCCTATTTGGGACTCGTCATCTGGATGTACCCGCATTCCCCAGTGAGTGATGATGTTCTCACTGAGACTCGAACCGAGTAACACTCGTTTCAAAGGCCAAATCATTATCCACTAGACTACCTGGGAAGATTGGAGAGCCATCCGTTGCACAAGAGGTGGCTCTCATGACCCAAGTGGTCTAGGGGATAATGCTTTGTAGTTTGAAACGATGAGTACTAGGTTCAAGCCTCAGTGTGCATCCTGGATTCTACTGCTGGTCTGTTCACCGAATTGCTTCGAGTTAAATCCCCAGACATCATCGAAGCATCTGCACAAAGAGCCAACATGTTAACAGAGGCCAAACATTTCGGTCCAACCAATCAACGGAAAGTCCAAAGTGGATCCATACAGTTCGAAGGGAATTTTCTCTTTATCACTATGATGTTATACGAATGACGAATAATCCGAAGAAAAGTCTGGAGAAAAGGTGTTTTCATGACAAATTCCGGATAATCTTGTTTAAATGGCAAATGATCCCATGAATATCTTAAGGACAAGCTGCTTCCTCAAGTCACCTCATTGTTTTCAAATTAAATTTCAGTGAAAACTGGCGTTAGTTAGGGAACCACTGGTAAGTAAGGAGCAGTGGTTAGCTATTTCGTCCCGATTACAGACTTTTCAACGGCATGCATCCATGTTCCCACCAGTAATCGAGTCCTGGATATTCAGGCCACAATGCCCGTGCACACACACTACCATTCAATGCTATATATCATTTCACCGTGAGTTTCGAAGAGTGATGTTACTCAAAATGGGTGTCACAGCATTGTTCTCCACAGATGTTGAGAGAGAAATGTCAATTAATCATCATTTTGGTACTAGATGGTTGGAGGCAATCGGAATGAAGCCCAGTCTGACCAAGGTTTCGTGCTAGTTGGCACTCTCTAGTCAGCAGGGTGTATCTGCAACCTTAAAGGAACTCACGTCCCTTCTGAGATTCAAACAAGTGTCACTCAGTGCGGCCCGCAGTCAGAGACGTTACGGCTGAGCTAATCGGCCTCGCAACTGACCTCCTGTTGGACTGTATTAGGTACTTCCATTTGACACTAGTCATTAGTGTCTAGACGCACTGCACTAGTTACTGACTAGTTTCCATACATCATTTTGATATATAAAAATTAGATCTACTCTACCTATCACTCTCCGAGTGAATAATCTTTCAATATAATCCCCGAAAACAGGGAAGATAGTACAACTGTATATGATGCAGACTCTCAAAACTCTGATCAGTCTGTCTTTTGAAGAACCGAATACCATTCCTTAGCTTACCCATGATAATAATAAAAATGACTTCATTCCATCACTATATGGTCGATCGCCTATTGATAATTTTGAACAGTTTCGCGAAGTCTACCTCATGACCGGTGTCAAGGAGATGCCTGGCGATGGAACTGCTGAAAGCACTTGTTCCCTTTAGACATTGGCCTCTTGGTACATGTTCGGAAAATTGGAGGTATGCCCTTCTTCTTTCTGTACTTCCAATCTAACTGCTCCCGCAGATACATGTAAATTTGTATATACAGTTGTAGTTAACATGAGAGCGATATCTACCCACTGCTCTCCAATATGTTTTCAAGAGACATAAATTCTCCCCCTAACTTCTCTGTAGAGCATATTCTCCTAGCTCTGTAGTACAGAGTCTTGACTAGTGCTCGTTTAAAGCTATTTAGACAAAACCATTAAAATGTAGGTATTGTCCTTCCCATGTAGGCTTACGGTAAATTGACCTCTGGAGACTACCATCTTCTAGGCGTTGCATAGCAATGTTGAGGAAGTGGAACTTTCCATCATTTTCATGTTCCATAGTAAATTCAACATTGGTATATGCGTCGCTGAATAATCCGAGTAGGTAGGAAGCATGACTTACATTGTTGCACACTACAAATGTGACATCGATATATCGACAAAAAGAAGTTGTTTCGTAGACTGAGTTCAGAAATCTTTCATTGCCCTGGTGAATGGATATTTTCACCTTTCTCTTTCATCTGATTACGCAATGTCGAAGGTTTTCATTGTTTATGATCATTAGTATCCGGGATAAAATGTTTATCATCATTATGTACATTATTATGCATATATTGACTGTTTGATTTTTGTTTAAAATGAATTCTGTGCAAGTATGTTAAAATTGTTTCTGTAGATATATTTAATAATGACTTTGGGGTGTAAGCAGATGATGAGAAGCCGACGAAACACTTTCGTTATTTGTAATTCCTTTAATGGTGCATCTCAAGTACTAAAAATCTTGAACAGCGCCCAAGTTTACAATGCAGTATGAAAAAGAGGAGAAGTTCCATTTTCTTAACCTGGGTATCCAACGAGATATAGACGGCAAAATCATAAGATATATACACACAAAAGAGACCTAGAGGGCGGTTTATCTCAACTTTAAAAGCTTCTGCCCTATAAGTTACAAAAATGGATTGGTGAGAACATTAATTTATCGTGTAAGGAAGCTATGTTCAAAAGAAAAGATTTAGGAAGAGCTATCCATTGTGGAGAAACGCCTACGCGACAACGGTTACCCACAAAAGTTCATCGACA